ACTGTGACAGGACTCGCAGGCCTTGCCAGATACAGACACATCAGTTCCGTTTCCATTCACCATCGATGTTTTACCATTGGAGAGGGCTGCTGGATTTGGCTTGTTACTGCAAAAAGAAAAAGGGTTCTAGTTTCTCCCACTAAAGTACCATACATTCAATTCTTACTCAAGTAAAGAATTAAAAATCTACACTCTGCATGTACAATTTGAGTACTTTGTTTACCAAGCTCTGTCATGAACTAATTGCCATATACAATGAAATCACTCACTCACTCACATACATAAACATGCATATATACATATGTATTACAAAAAACAAGAGAGGAACGTGAGATGGAGAGAGAGAGAGAGAGAGAGAGAGAGAGAGAGAGAGAGAGAGAGAGAGAGAGAGAGAGAGAGAGAGAGAGAGAGAGAGAGAGAGAGAGAGAGAGAGAGAGAGAGAGAGAGAGAGAAAGAGAGAAAGAGAGAAAGAGAGAAAGAGAGAGAGAGAGAGAGAGAGAGAGAGAGAGAGAGAGAGAGAGAGAGAGAGAGAGAGAAGAGAGAGAGAGAGAGAGAGAGAGAGAGAGAGAGAGAGAGAGAGAGTGAGTGAGTGAGTGAGTGAGTGAGTGAGTGAGTGAGTGAGTGAGTGAGTGAGTGAGTGAGTGAGTGAGTGAGTGAGTGAGTGAGTGAGTGAGTGAGTGAGTGAGTGAGTGAGTGAGTGTGTGTGTGTGTAAAAAAAACACAATATGTACTATGAACTAATTCCCATATATGTAATTATAAATATACAGCATATGCAGTACATATACATCAGCCAAATAAATAAAATAACAATCAAACAAATATCCAGTCTCTCTATTTGTAATACTTACTAGTTAGGAATGTAAACCTGCTTTAGTTTGGACTCTGCCTCAACAGCCTTCACTCTTTTCTGCTGTACATATCTATCTGTTGTTTTCCACATATAGTAGTACTCTATTATATTCTTTAGAGTTTTCCAAGGCAGCTGTAGACGAGAGGGGTGGAGAAGCACATAAATTATTCAAAAAACTATATTTATTAGCAATACAATTTATAGCCACCAATATCACAAATTCATTTATCATGAAAAGAAAGTTGAGAAAAATAAAGACAAAAATAAAGAACTTACAAAATCTTGTCTGATGTCATTGAAGTCCTTGCCATACTTTTCAAGGGCTTCCTCAAACAGGTTTGCCTCAGAGGCTGACCACTCTTCCATCTCATCTCGACAGAGGACAGGCCCCGTGGCAGGTATTAGGGAACATAATGCTTTGCTGATGTCATAGTTGTGCTTGTGTAAAGTGTCCATGGCATGGAACTAGAAAGAGATGAATTGCAACCTTTAGAAAATATGTTGCTGGTATGACTGAAGACTGGATTGAGTGAATTGTGAATTGCAAGAACAAATATGCTGAAACTTTATACTGGATAGTTTTTTCTCACAACTAGGGTTGTCTTGCCCATTATCAAATCAACCAGCTTTTTGCTTTTCACTCACCAGATATGTTCAATTTCCTAATTAATTACAAAATGAATAAGTTCTGTAATCATATTTGAATCTTGATTTTAAGTCAAACTGTAACATATTTTACATCTAATCAGGGGATTAGATGTACAAAAGTTTAGACACCTATATGACATCCACATCATGATACAGTAATACTTACTAATGTGACGTCTCTCGATGCAGCTGCCGCACTCATATGCAGTGATGGCTGCTTGACTGATGAAGAGCAGTCTAAGGCTCTGGCAAAAGTCCCTACTGACCGTGACATCACTAAGAACTGGTCTATTTGGCGGTCTGTTAAACCATGGTATGGGGTCCAGACCAGACTTTCTAATTCTTCCATATTACGACCATCACTTTCTCCTGTAAAGGTGGTATATCAACATGGCATACATGTAGGTCTAGAATCATTATTTCATATTTTTCTTGATAAAACATCACATACATATGAATTCCAATATATCATTACCTTCCATATAATCAGAAATATACAACCACACATAATATATACAGAAACACATTCATCACTACATATTGTATACATCTAACACAAAGCCAATAAAATACAAGGTCTGTTAGGGGCTTCAAAATTGGTTGTTTGCTATGCACCCAAGGTATGGCATCACAAACAGTAGCTTGAGCTTCTTAAGACAAAATCAATTTGCTTGTAGTATATCACATTTGATATATATTTACAGTAATTACCAAATTCCTAACATCATCACCAGTACCAACTGTGGCTGGTGGAATAACCTTGTATTTTAGTAACCTTGTATCTAACCAACACATATAAAGGACACCATATGATTCACCTTCTTTTAATAGGTTTGTAATATCTGCTTGAAATCTTGAACCAACTCTAATTTCACCTTTATCTGCTAACAATGTCTTTTGCTGAGGGTCATATACAAGAGAGTAGAAGAAAGTATCCTGGAATGAAACAGACAAATATATTAAATCTTCTTCACCTTCACAACCTATGTGCTTTATGTGACCAGGTGGGTGGGGAATGGGGAAGGGGAAGAGAAGGTGGAGAAGAAAAAGGGAAGAAGGATGTTTATATCCTCTAATGAATCTTATAATACTATTAATCATACAGATTTTTAAAGACCCCAATTTTAGAATTAAAGCTCTGTTATCACTACAAAACAGACAATCATGTTTACAAAATAATCAACATTTACTCACCTCTTTATTGAGATAGGCCAAGAGCAACTCTGTCTCGTTGAGTAACGTGACTGTGCACTTGCCCCTTATGTGCGTGGCAGGGAGGGTTTCTATCTGTCGGGAAAGGAAGAGCTCGCGGTGCCGAAGTTGATGGCGCTCCCCTGAGTTGAGGACCTCACCAGCTGGAGTTACAATAGTGGACCCAGAATCACCCCCTTCACCTTCACTCTCATCTTCGTCTAAGGCACCTGGTGGGAAGAAAATGAAACTGGTCAGAAACCTAGTAAAATAAAATCATAACTACAAAATATTTAAAAATTTCAGACACCAAAAAATCAGTAATGGTACTAATCCAATTTCAATAAAAATGTACTAGAAATAATACTGGTATATAATAACAATGCCTAAAAAAAATAGGAAAAAGAAAGAAAATCAGAGAACCTAGCATGAAATATACAGAAATCTTGTCATAATAAGCGTAAGAAGCAAAACGATCAAAACGGATTAATGATAACAAAATTGAGAGTGCTGTTTTTCTTGTATGCACAAGTCCCCCCCCTCTACTTCTCCCTAACTCCCCCTCTCTTCCTCCTCTTTCACTAAGATGAGTTGGGAAACTGAAGTGGGAGAGAGGGGGAGGTAAGGATAAAAAGGGGAGAAAGAAAGGGGGAGGGGATGAGCTGCCTCACCTTTACTCTGCACAAATATGCAAGCTTACCTCTGATGCCTTCTATTTTTAGCAAAAGCATTTCTAAGTCATGGCAAAGATCCCCTGAAGAGAATATGGGGAGGGGGGGGAGGGGGGGAGAGGGAGAGAGAGGGAGAGAGAGGGAGAGAGAGGGAGAGAGGGAGAGAGAGAGAGAGAGAGGAGAGAGAGAGAGAGAGAGAGAGAGAGAAGAGAGAGAGAGAGAGAGAGAGAGAGAGAGAGAGAGAGAGAGAGAGAGAGAGAGAGAAGAGGATATAATGAGGCAAAAGGAAGGAAGAAGACCAGGAGGTAGAGACAGAGTGGGAGGGGGCTGGGAAAGAGAGAGAGAGAAAGAGATAGAGAGAGAGAGATAATAGCAGATAATGATATGTAAACTTCCTGCAAGAATCATGACAGGACTCTTTATTTCTTTGTGTATTACACTCCCTTCATCCGAACTCTAATATTTTTTTCAATTTATTCCCATTTGTCTTGAATACCAATTTCTATTTTTCCCTCCATAAGTATTTTACTGAATACCATGTATTCAAGCATGGGCTATTCTCATCATGTAATTAATTTCTAATTTAAATTACCTTTTTCTTTTTTTTCTCAAAATATTAAGAAACAGTAAGAAAACTAAATTTCTCAAAAAAGAAAAAAAAAAAAAGGAAGGAAAAAAGAAAGAAAGAAAGATAGAAAGAAAGTAAGAAAAGAAAAAGAAAGAAAGAAAAAAGGCAGAACTTAAGGAATACTTTTCATTCTTGGAAAAAAGTCAATCTTTATTCTTGGATGAGAATGAGGGAGGAGGGAGATGGAGACTGAGCATGGAAGGGGGAGGCAGGAGGTGGAGGAAGAGGAGGATGGGTAGTGGTGGTGGTGTGGTGGTGGTATGAAGGTGCAGTGGTGGTATGAAGGTGCAGTGGTGGTATGGAGGTGGTGGTGTGGTGTGGTGGTGGTATGGATGTGGTGGTGTTGGTGTGGTGGTAGTGCTGTGGTGTGGTGTGGTGGTGGTGATGTGGTAGTGTGTGGTGGTAGTGCTGGGTGTGGTGTGGTGTGGTGTGGTGGTAGTGCTGTGGTGTGGTGTGGTGGAAAAGAAAAAGAGGAGAGGGAGGGTATAGAGGGCAAGAGAGTAGGGAAGAATAGGAGAGGATAAGAGCAGCAGGTGAGATGAGAGGCAGTAAATTCTGGTGTTGTACACTGAAAAGCAAGACGAAAAAGGCGAGGAAAGGCTGAAAGAGGGTGGAAAAAGGCACTTTTCCAGATTACTTCAGCTATGTAGAAGCCTTTCCACTTGGTACATACATACAGTTTACAAATAAGCCTAGACACGCACTTGAATTCCAGCACTCACAACATAAAATTCTGAATCATACACTCAAATCTTGGTGCATGACTTCACAAAGGATAGACAGGTTGTCAGGCATGCAAATAAAAAAGCATTCACACAAATAAAATAAAAATGCAAATAAATAAACACACACGATGGCAACGTCCAAGCCATCTTCCAGCCCGTGACGTAACCGCGTCGCCTGAGCGCCGGTGCTCGCGGCTGGCGTACGGAAGAGTAAGATAGCGCGCCGGCGTGAAGGGGCGAACATGCACTGTTACGTGCAAGTGTGCAACTTACGACGGATAATAGGGAAATAGAAACTTCAAAATGCATTATCTCGAAAGGCTAGAAGGGAGAATTAGAATTAACGATTTGCCAATAGTAACGGTATCGGTATAACTATTCCATTTCACTTGTTACGCGATTCAAAACCTTTTGTGACTGAAATCAACTCTCCATTGCATTCGAAAGCTAACATTTGTATTTTGTACGAGAAATTTATATAGCCTTCATTAGTTGTCATATACTATTTATATTTATGTGTATGCGTGCGTGCGTGCGTAATGTATCGACTCGCCATCGGTTGAAAAGTGGGTATCGGCGCTGGGCCACTCCTCCAATCGCAGTACAACTGGTAAACCTGTTCGCCCTCACTAGTTATGATTCTGTCTCTGTCATTGCCATCGTCATTCATTTACTCATTCACTCTCTCATGTAATGACCGGGCCCCAGCACGTCCCGCGCGTCCGAGAGGTATCAAGGTAAAGACGCGTGCCGTCGGCGAGCAGGAACGTTCCTGTACGATCTTTAAGTCAATGGCCATAAATCGGTATTTGGTATGATGACTAGACTCCTACCATTCTTCCTTCTTTCTTTCTTTCTTTCTTTCTCTCTCTCTCTCTCTTTTCCCTCCCTCCATCCCTCCTTCTCTCATTCTCTCTCTCTTCCTTCCTCTCTCTCTCTCTCTCTCTTCCTTCTTCCCTCTCTCTCTCTCTCTCTCCTCTTCCTTCCTCCTCCCTCCTCTCTCTCTCTCTTCCCTCCCTCTCTCTCTCTCTCTCCTTCCTCCCTTCCTTCTCCTCTCTCCTCTCTCTCTCTCCTTCCCCCCTCTCTCTTTCTCCCTTCCTCCCCCCTCTCTCCTCCTTCCTTCTCTCTCCTTCCTCCCTCTCCCCACCCCTGATATTCCAAAAACAAGAAGCTACCTCGCCCTCTATGTTATGAAGTCAAAGCGGCGGGGAGGGAGGAGCAGGGGAGGGAAGACTGGGAGTTTGCACGTTGATACGAGCGCCTGGAGCGAAGCCCATCCGTCAATCCGGGCATCAGGGACAGGCACAAAGCAAGACACGCGGACAGACGGAAAGGAAAAGCGGCAAAGGAAGTCAGACCGATGGAAGCACATGCAAGCAGTGAGGCTAGAAGGGGTCGCGGACTAGGAGTATGCAGGTCGGTCGGTCGGTCGCTAGGCAAACAGGCAGGCAGGCAGGCAGGCAGTTAGGGGGGAGTGGAAAGACGGCTGAGTAGATAGGAGGGTGTCCGTGGACCGGGACTGGAATGACCGTTTCTACGGCAACGGATCGGCAAAGTTTGGCGGGGCGTGAGGGGGACAGAGCATCACCTACCTCCCTACCTAATTTCCTCAGTCCCTCTCACTCTTCCCGCAACACCATTACCCTCACCCCACCATCCCTTTCTCTCTCCCACAGGACTCCTTGCTCCAACTACGGATCCATCCTTTTTTTCTCTCCGTCTTCCCTTTATTTCCTTTTCTTCGTACCTAACAGATAGCCGTGCATTTCTTGATTCGCCTAAGGAAGAATAAAACGGAATAGAAAAGGCGAGAAGGGAGATTGGCGGTATATGGAAAACAATTTACGTCGGAGCCAGAAATAAGAATCATCAGGAAAAAACAAGGGGGGGGGGCGTGGCAAAGAGCAACAACCCGAAAAGAGAAAAAGCGCGGCGGGTGGGCGAGAGGGAGCCGCTACAGGGCGAGTGGCGAAATACAAGAGGCTAGAACGATCAGCAGCACCAGCAGAAGCTTGCACACTGGGGGTGGGGAAGGTGGGGAAGGTAGGGTAGGGTAGGTAGGAGAGAGGAGAGGAGAGGGGAGGGGAGAGAAGGGGAGGGGGGGGGGCGTGCGCGCGAGCAGGAGGACGCCCGTGTTAGAGGCAGCGGGCCATCCTGGCATCACGCGACCCTCCACTCAATAACACACACGCCACAAAAACTGCCTTCTCGGTCATACTCGCACACAATCAGCCTCCTTCCCTCACTCGCTCCTACAGGCCTGGTCCCGTCCTCACGCCAGGAGACAACGCCGCTCGGCCAGTCGAACCTGGCTTTCGCTCTTTCTTATCTTGTCTGCATGTTCTCCATAATCCTCTTCTTTCTGATGTCGGTCTCACTGCTATATATAAATCTATTACAGGGGAAGCAGGAACACACATCGTGGAGCAGCTACACTTGTAGCTTTATAGGCATACCTGTACATACATCCAGCAATGCGATCACCACACCATACACACACATTTAATTAGTTCATCTACCTATCTATCCACACACAAAAGTTTCAATCACAACCGCATGCACGCAGACTAGGGCCGTGCGCCGGCCGACCAGGCAGCCTCCGTCCCGGCCGCAGCGCCTCAGCGGGCCAGCCAGCTCGCAAGAGGCAGCAGGTGAAGGCGCTCTCTCGCGCCGTGCACGGACTGAGCCGAGTAATCACATTAATGTCCATTTAGGCAAAATACACTTTCCGTTTAATCAATAATACCAGCATGGTGGTACAGCTAGCCGGATCTCAGCATACATGGTGGGCGGGCCACTCTTCTCCCTCCTCTTTCCCACTTGCTAATTCCCTTCTCCTTTCGCCTTCCCACCTTCTATATAGTCATTTTCAAAAATCACACTTGCCACCATCGTCCTCCTTCGTCTTCAGTTTCCCCCCGCTCTTCTAGTTCCTTTCCTTGTTCATCCTCCTCGTCCTTCCTTGCCGCTGGGTTGGGTCACCGTCGTCAACTTCGACGGAACCCTGTCCTCTCCCTGGCCTTCCTTTTCTTTTATTCCAATTTACTTTTGTTTGTACCTTCATTGCCTACTGTCTCGCTGCTTTCTATCCTTGTCTACACCTTTTTATATTCACCAACGATTTCTCATTGATTTTTTTTTTGCTTTACCTTTCCATCTTTCGTTCGCTCAATCAGCGTGAGGCTGGGCTTACAATTCAGATCATGGAGCAAAGGAGAAATTTGAGGGAAAGAAGGGGAGACGAAGAAACAAAAGGAAGGAGAAATATTAGGAGGAGGTAGACACAGGGTGGAAGGAGGGTGGGGGGACCTGTGTGTGTGTTAGAGAGAGAGAGAGAGAGAGAGAGAGAGAGAGAGAGAGAGAGAGAGAGAGAGAGAGAGAGAGAGAGAGAGAGAGAGAGAGAGAGAGAGAGAGAGAGAGAGAGAGAGAAATAGATGCACAAGAAAATAGGGAGAGAGAAAAAGAGTGGGTGAGGAGTGGGTGGAGGAGGGAGGAGGCAACTGAGGAATGTGTAGGAGGGTCAGAGGGCGGCCGGAGTCAATACTAATGAACACCTGGGGCAGAGGAGCAGGAACGAAAGCGTTGCCATAAAGCTTCCCAAGACTAGTCATCCTTGCAAGCAACCAACCAACCAACCACCCGATCAACCATACAGGCAGCCAACTGCCCTTCATCCTCACCTCATCCTTCAGACGATCACACACTCATCCTCCCAGACCAACCAAGGAGCGGGAGGTGGGGAGGGAAGCAGAAAAGGGGGGCGGTGGAAGAGAGGGGGAGGAAAGGTGAAGGAGAGGAAGGGGAAGGCGGGCAGGCTGTGCAGGCTGCGGGAAGGCTCTACAAAAGCCCTCCGGAAGACATCAATTATCTGAGATTCATTCAGATCTTCGTCACGATCCTCTTGCAATAATGACATGCACGTACACAATGCTGCATGTGAACGGACGGACCAAACTGAGACAGACACAGATATACAGACAGAATGAGAGAATTAATCAGGGCAATGAGGATGAATAAAGAAGCAGGTGATAATGCGAACGAGTGAATCAGTGACTTTGGTGGGCGAGCGCGCGCACGCACCCTTTCCGCTTCCAAGACAATATCCCAATAATGAATGCAACATTCTCTGCAGATTTTCACTTCCTCCAACTCTGCCTCGTCTCCCAGCACATTTTGTTCCTGCAACTCTAGGCCATGTCGATTTCTACACCGTTCACTCTCTCCGGTTTGCCTTACTCCTCGTTTATTGGAGTGTCTATCTGTACAAATGTCCGTCTCAAAAGCACAAAATTTAGAACGGAAAAGTGAAAGATATATAGAAACAGAAATGTAAAGAGTCAGTCACTGAGGAAAAAGTGAGAGGAAAAGAAAGGAAAAGTTGCAATAATCGCGAGCAGAAAAGGGAGAAAGCAGCACAAATCTATCGCAGCGAAGTGCAGACGGCGGGCGTTCCGTTCATCATCTCCATTCACTACGACACACGAAAAGAAGAACAAAATATGACAATCCTTCTCCAAAGTACGAAGTGTCTCGTAGCTTCTCGTACACCCCCTCTCCCTCCACCTGAATTCTCTCTCTTCCATCTACATTCCCTCTTCCTTTCCCCCGCATCTTCTGCTCCCTTCTTTCTTCAATATCTCACTTCGCCTTCCCCCCTTCTCTAGTATCCACATTCCCCCCACAACCCTCCCTCCCCTTCCTCCCTTCCTTCCTTCCTCGCGATAGGATGTGTGCATTGAGGAATATGAGGACATGAGCCGAGAGTGCAAGTGGGTGGATGCCTGGGTGAATGGGTTCCTGGATGACGGGCCGAATTGAGAGAGAGAGAGAGAGAGAGAGAGAGAGAGAGAGAGAGAGAGAGAGAGAGAGAGAGAGAGAGAGAGAGAGAGAGAGAGAGAGAGAGAGAGAGAGAGAGAGAGGGGGGGGGGGGGGCAAAGGGGAATCAGATTAATACTAAAAGCTAGAAAAACACACGCAAAACATATGGACAACAAATCAAGAATCGCGCTCTCTCAAGCCCCCATTAGACATCCACCTTCCCCTTTCGCCTGTGCCTTGTCCTCCTCCTCCTCCTCTTTCTTCTCCTACTACTACTACTCCTCCTCCTCGCCACCATCCCCTGGCAAGATTCTCACAAGGGGACCGGGAAGAGGATCGCGGCGAACCGACTCCCGTCCAGTCAGTCAGTCACCCTCGGCCAGGTCCCTCTGCTGCCTCTCTTCCTCCCGCGGGACCGAGAGACGTGCCTCGCCCATTTCTTCCGCGGAAGACACCAGGCCCCATACTGGGAGGGGAGGGAAGGGACGGGAAGGAGAGGGATGCGCCGAAGACAAAGCCTCTGAGGGATCCACGGCGCCCCCACCCTCCTCCACCAGCACATCCGGATTTCCACCCTCGTCTCCCTAATATCACTGCCTTCGGTGCCGGTATTTGGTGCTGGTATGTTTGTAATACAAAGACTAAATCTCTCTCAAAAATACGATCACACAGACGCAAACAGCGCGCGCTCGTGCTAACAACACACATACACACAAGGGAAGAGGAAGAGGAAGAGAAAGAGAGAAAGAGAGAGAGAGAGAGAGAGAGAGAGAGAGAGAGAGAGAGAGAGAGAGAGAGAGAGAGAGAGAGAGAGAGAGAGAGAGAGAGAGAGAGAGAGAGAGAGAGAGAGAGAGAGAGGGGGGCACTGCCACCTGAAAGCCATCTCTCCCGCCCTAAAAGGTCTAGGCCTATCAGTATTCTCCGAACTTCTCGAGACCATTTGCGATAGCAATTATAAGGGGAAGTGAAGGGGAAAGGAGAGAGTCAAGGGCGCGTCAGCCAAGGGAGGAAGAAAGGCAGAGGCGAGAAAAACGAACAGGGATACGTGAGTGAGGATAAGGTAGACAGAAATAAAGGGAGAAAAGGAAGGAAGGCATAAGGCTACGATAGAAGCAAATAAAGTAAAAAGAGAAAAAAGAGGGATCACATGGACAAGAACCACGGGAGAACTAAGGAAGAGAGGCAGAGAGGAAGGAAGGAAGGAAGGAAGGGGTCCTGCCCCATGAGTGAGCGGCAGAAAGGACATCAGCGGCAGGTCAGCGCAGGAGAAAGGGGCAAAGGCAGGGAAAGAGAAGTGAAGAAAAATTAAATAAATTCAGAGAGTAGAGGGAAAAGGGAAACGAACGGAAGGAAGGAAGGAAGGACGGAAGGAAGGGAAGAAAGAAGAAAGGAAGGAGGAGGAGGAGGAGGAGGGCAGTGATGGGTCGGGCAATCGGCGCCACAGATCGATACACAAGACGGTTAACGTGTCGCCGCGACCTGAGTATGTCGGACTCTCCTCTCTCCGGGGGTTAAAATGGGTAAGGAGGGAGGTGTGTGTGTATGTGGGGGGGGGGGGGGGCTCAACCGACAACCCAACATCACCCCACTCCCTCCTACTCCTTATCCTCTCCTCCCACCATCGCGATCTCCCTCAAAACACGTGGTTCCCTCCTTCTTTCCCTCCAGTTTTAACACCTCCACGCCTTCGAAATCCCCCCTTTTTCCCTTGACCTTCCCTGACCTAATCCGCCTTGCGCTGCCGTTCCGACTCGCTCGTTTATTGTGGCCCTCCTTCGCTGTCCCCTTCGTCCCCTTCCTTCTGCGAAGTCTACACTCCTCCTCTTTCTCCATTATTGTCTTCTTATCCTCTTTTTCCTTCCATCCTTGCTGTCCCCTTGTCGTCTTTCTTGCTCCTTCGTTGCTCCCCTCCATTCACCCTTCTCTCCTATTTCCTGTTTGCTTCTTAAAACACCGTTTCCTCCCGAAAGATTCTTGAGCTTTTTCTCTTCGCGAAGGTTAAGCTCCCCAACTTACTAATTATATAAAAAAAAATCTATCACAAAGGAAACAGATAATCGTGATCACAAAGCGGAGAGAATTAACAGATAAAGGGAAAAAAGAAAAGGCGACAGAGAGGAGGGGCAAACAAGGGACACTAAATCACGTCCCCCAGAACGAAGGCGGCGGCCATGGCTTTGCGGGCCAGCATACGGAGAGCGCCTACGTTTGCAGGTAGGTGCGTGCGTGAGGAGATAATGAGCGAGACTGGGAATAAGAGAATTGGGAAATTAGAAAATGGGAGAAGGAATGAGAGATGGAGCGTAAGTAAAAAAAAAAAAATGGACATAGAAGCGAGCCCCTTAATCCCGAGGGCAGCAGGTGAATCAGCAGGTGACGAGGGCCGGCAGCTGGGCAGTGACGGGGTGACGCGAGGCGGCGGCCAGTACCGCATAAGCGAGTGTGCGGGTGAGGAGGGCCAAGAGGGACAGGGGGGGGGGGGGGGGGAGTGCAACAGCGGCATCCTCCCAAGACGGGCGTGTTATTGATCCGCATTACGCTGAGAGCAACTCTTTCTCCGCGGCCCGTTACACACTGTCAAAACCTTAATTATTCAAGACCCTGCGGAGGCACAGTGCCTGCCTCGCCGGCCGTCCCAGCAGGAGCAGCAGCAGCATCGTGTCGCCCCCGCGGTCCAGGGCATCAGGGGCCACGGAAGGAACCTTCTTCCTTCCCCCTCCCCCTCCCCGCTGCCACCCCTGGAAGAGAGGCACAGTGCCTTCCGCTGACCGTGAGGTGAGAGGCCTGTGCCTGCTGGATGCCTCTTGGGGGTAGGTGGGAGGGGGAGGGGATGGCAAAAATGCGTCCCCGCCATCGCCTTCTGCTCACGCTATTTTGTCCACCGCATAACAACACAGCCTCCATGACAACAAGACAATTAAATGCACGTATACACACATATGTATGTGTGTGTGTGTGTGTGTGTG